ACTCAACATAAAAAAAACTAAGATCATGGCCACTGGTCCCATCACCTCCTGGGAAATAGAAGGGGAAGATATGGAGGCAGTGACAGATTTTACTTTCTTGGGCTCCGTGATCACTGCAGATGGAGACAGCAGCCCCGAAATTAAAAGACACCTGCTTCTTGGGAGGAAAGCAATGACAAACCTTGACAGCATCTTAAAAAGCAGAGACATCACCTTGCCAACAAAAGTCCGAATAGTCAAAGCTATGGTTTTCCCTGTAGTGTTGTACGGAAGTGAGAGCTGGACCATAAAGAAAGCTGACCGCCGAAGAATTGATGCCTTTGAATTGTGGTGCTGGAGGAGACTCTTGAGAGTTCCCTGGACTGCAAAGAGAACAAACCTATCAATTCTAAAGGAAATCAACCCCGAGTGCTCATTGGAAGGACAGATCCTGAAGCTGAGGCTCCAGTACTTTGGCCATCTCATGAGAAGAGAAGACTCCTTGGAAAAGACCTTGATGTTAGGAAAGTGTGACGGCAAGAGGAGAAGGGGATGACCAAGGATGAGATGGTTGGACAGTGTCATCGAAGCAACCAACATGAATTTGACACAACTCCGGGAGGCGGTGGAAGATAGGAGGGCCTGGTGTGCTCTGGTCCATGGGGTCACGAAGAGTTGGACACGACTAAACGACTGAACAAAACAAAAACAGGAATCACCACAGCCGGGACCAGCCCATTCCAAGAGGTGGGAATGCCCCTTGTTGGCAATTTCACCAAGGTCACCACTGATGGACGTTTACCTGGAGGTGGGACTTAAACCATTGGACTTTACTGTTAAAAACCTATTTGTCCACCAAGAACTCAATCCCCTCCTCACACAGTTGTATGAGGAAGAGAAAGCTTCCATTCTTATTGTTGGTCAACGTTTTCTAGAGTTACCAAAAATAAATGTTGAAGGTTTGAATCCAGCTAATGCATCCTCATTACTTGACCCAAAGAAAGAGTCAGAACAGAATCCACCAGAGGCAGGTAGATAACCCTCACACTATCCAGCCCAGCCCCTGTGGGATGATTTACCTAAGGAAAAAGCTAGGGGAAGGCTTTATGTGGTGAAGAGGAAGGGCTAGATTTGGATATGTGGCAAAGTGTTTACATCAAGCTGTTGTTGCTTTCTTAAGAAGATCAGTGTTTTAGTGTGTTTCATCTCACACACATGGGTTACAGTGGCAATGAGTGAAGACTCTGTACCATTGAGCTAGACTCCACGCTTATACTAGTTTAATATCACTTTAACTAATCTTTCTATGTATGTGTATGTTCTGTGCCGTCACGTCAGAACCAATTTATAGCAACCCTAAGAATGCTTTCAAGGTGAGAAATTTAAAGTTTTACCAATTCCACTCTCCCAATGATTTTCCATGGCCAAATCGGGGGTTCAAACCCTGTTCTTCAGAGTCCTAGTCTCTCACTCTATCCACCACACCACACTGGGAAAATCTTTCTGTGAGATACTCAGAATTATTTTTAGAGATTTCTAGTGTTGTAGTTCAAAGGAGTACACTAGAGTGCTCTGGAAGAGAATTCTAAAGCCCTTCTTTGTTGTTCGGTCAGTGTGTTTATTCAGCACATTAAAGAGAGGATATGGGAGCCCTGTTCCACCTCCTCTTTCTTGTCATCAGGTTCCTGTGGCAATGACAGGTCTGAAGAAAGGAGGTTTGACTACTCAGGATGGCTTTCCGCTTGAGCCAGAACCTCAATTTCCCTGTGTTTTAACGTGCGTGGAGATTAAGGAGTTGAAACGCAAAGTTGTTACAGAAGAGCTTCACATTTCTGAGGCAGACGGGGGCGGGAAAATCAATAGCTTCTTTCACCAATTCTTTTGCGTGTGAAGAATGCTGAACTCCCCCATCTCCCAGAGGAGAAGTCAAAGATTATAGCAAAGAAGAGACAAACACTTCTTTAAAAAAAATCAATACCATTTATTCTTATCTGCTTGTGTAAATGCAGCATAATAACTAAAGATGTTTTCATGCAAGTACAAGTCTTATACAGAAGGTCTGATTTCTATGTGTGCTACCATCTATTTAACCATTTTTTCCACTTTTAAAATGTTCCCAGGAACAAAACACCTCTACCGCATTTGCTATATTTTGTTTTTTGGTGTGCATTTTACCTCACACACCCAGAGTTTGGAAAATTTATTTGTTTGGACTGCAACTCCCAGAATCCTTGACCATGCTGATTGAAGAATTCTGGGAGCTACAGGTCAAACAAGTAATTTTTCTACATTCTAGATACAGCTAGCAAGTATAGACCAAGGATATCCTTCCACTGGGAATGTTGAATTGATGTCCGGGGGAATTTTTAATCCAGTCTCCAAGCACCTTTTCACCTGTATACCTAAGGAGGTATCCCACATTAACCTACCCATACCTTTTGGATATCTTTGGGACCCATTCTTCAGGTCCAATCAGGGTGGCTATGAACTGAGCAGGGATCTCATTCCCCAACTGGTAGCGCACATCCACACTTCGGTCACAAGCTCGTTATGGCTCTAAGCTAATATGACTGGGGACTGAGATGAGGGCCCACTCAGTGGTGGCACCCCATTTTGGGAATGTTCTCTTTAGATTGGCTTACTTGTTGTCCAATTGTAAGCCTTTTTCCCCCATGATAAGACCTTTCATATTTTTTTCCTCAGGCTTTTCAATATTTTAAACAATATTTTTCTCTTTTTAATTTCTGTTATGTTTTCAGTTATGATACTGTTTATGAGATTATGCTACGTGGGTTAATTTTTTAAATGTAATTTTTTTTACATTATGTTGTTTTGGTCACCCAGGGTGCACAAGTATTGAAGGATAGGTTTTAGTTGCAGAAAACAAATAAACAATTGAGTTGTTTTTGCACACAGGAAAAGTAAGTGTTTTCTTACTGTTTCTTGTTTTCTGTTCAGTTTGTGGGTGTATTTCAGCATTTGGTGCGTTGGTGTATGTACTTAGATTTGAATTTTGCTGACATGAGTTCCTAAGCAAAAGAAGGAAAATGGATTCAGAAACAGAACTCTCTCCTTGTAGATTTTGAAGAGATGATGCACTTGTCAGCTCTAGAAGAAAACATGTGGTCTGGAACAAGGTAACAACTTTTTTTCTTCTATCTCCACCTCCCCCATATTTTTTTAAAAAAATAAGGCACCTTCCACTATAGGCTCCCCCTGGAATTAAGGGAACAAAACTGCGTGTGCAAAACTATGTCAGTTCATTCAGTTATCTGATTTATACATACACAACCTTTAATAACTGCCTCCATGAATCTGAAGGAATACTTTTGAAAGAAACATCACCTTCCCCATCTTTGCTCACTCCAGCCAAACTACAGTTCCATTGTCCCCAGTTCCTAGACTAGCTGGGGGTGATGGGGCTCATATTCAATGAGATTGAAAGGTATAGATGGCCCTTAAAAGTCACTATCTGGATAAGGCAGGATATGTGGTAAAAGAGAGACTTGTCTGTGAAGGATATTAAAAATATATTTAAAAAGAAATGAGGCTGGAGAGGGGTTTGGTCCTTGAAATGCCCTTATCTCCTATGAATGGTGTGAACTCTTCACCCTGTTAATCATGGAAGAATAATAGGTTGTGCAAAGAACTTATTTGAGGGCCTTCATTTCAGGTCCTGCTACTTAAAGTCATCTCCTTTCAATAATTCAGTTTGCTATCTCACTTGGCTGCTCTTTCAACACTTGCCTCTGTGCTTTCTTGATTTTCTTTTAGGCTGGCAACTAACAGTGGTTCTTCATCTGTAAAAGAGATCTAGAAGTGTCTTGGTGCAGATATACATTTCTCTTCCCCCCCCCCAACCCTTGCTGACCGTGCTTCAGTTTAGGACCTCACCAGGACAGCTCGGTGGCTGAGAAGGACAGGAGTTGTGGTCTGACCCATCTGGAGGGAATCAGGTTGGGGAATGCTGCCTTACACATTTCCTTAGTCTTTTGCCATGCTTGTGCTCTGTCAGCGTTGCCAGTAAACCTTTGCATCCAAGCAGGCTTACAGCTGTGCTGTTGGACAGTGATCAGTGCAGGTGGCTTGGAAAATGAGCCTAATTCTGCAACAAAGATGACAATAACATTTAAACGGGGGGGGGGAGTAGTCTGCAAAGATGCGATCATGACAGGCCCTGTAGTGAGGCTATGAACTGCTGCTATTCCTGCACGCTGGAATGGAAGGAGGTGACGGAGGAAGTGGGAAGATAAGTGCTTTCCATTTCTGAGCTCCATCTGCCTTCCCAGCAGTTTGCATTCCCGGAGCCACAGAGCACTTGAGCGACCACCCTCTGCTGTTCTTGTAAAAGTGGCCTCTTTTTATATGAGGTTCAATTTGTAAACTTGCAAAGAAAAAGAGCTGCAGTTAACACACTGGGCAAATCCCAGAGGAAACGACTCGGAACTTACAGTCTACTCACAGCAATGCGGACTAGCTTTTGCATGGCAAAGACTTCTGCCGCTGTTATTTCTACTACAAGTCATGCTGGATAGGCAAGGCAGGGGGAGGAACGGAGGGGGGATCTAGACAGAAAATGATTCAGAGACTCCAGGGAAAGTCTGATTCATCCTCTAGGCAACACAAAGCCTGGGACATAGTAGAAAATGTTGGTGTGCAGATGCTCATCACATTGGCCCCTATGGCCAGATTCCCAAGCAGAATCTAAAAGTGGTGGCATCTGCACTGATTCATAACAACTAACCACTAGTAGCGCCTTTCATCTGCACCAGGAGCATGACGTCTTCTGTAAAGTTATGTGGTATTAATTGCCCATTCAAGTTCAGGGCACCACAAAAAGTTGCATTAGTATAAGGATAGCTCCCAAGAATATACAATTGCCAGAAAAATATCACCCACACACAGAGAGACACACTGATTGCTAAACTTGGGGGGGGGATCCTGTGTGGGGGAGGGTGGCAGCGGCAGGGAACATTGTTGTCCCTATCAGCCAAAAATATCTAGCTGTCTGGCCCTCTGCGATACTACTGATCATAATCATGGCTGTATTGTAGACATCTATTTCCCCCAAAACACAGAAGTAGCCCACTTAAGCTTGATAGTTGCCACTCTTCTTATAGGAATCAAGGCTGAGACATAGGGTGGGGGGAAAGGACAGGAACCCCCTAAAGTGCTGCATTCGGCCACAGCATACTCGTGTGCACATGTGCATATGCATGTGTGTCTGTCCGTGTACACCCCTACTTGCGCACATCTGGCTATCAGGGGTGAGGCCTCACTTCTCCTTTTGCCCGTGGCAGCCACTTCCAACGTTCAGCATAGGAATGAGAAGTCCCGGCAGCCACCTCTTCCCAAAGACTTCCTCCAGGTTCTTCTTCCAGGGCTGGGCGCGGGCTGCCATACCTTTTCGCACCTGGTGTCGTGTTTGCCCTCGCAAGATCAGCAGCATTTGGTGGCAGCAGAAGCCGGCGCAAGCAAGTCCAATTCCCAGCCAGAGGTACAGCATGAGGATGACAAACATTTCCGAGCTCAGAAGAGCTCCTGCAGATCCACAACCGGGAGGCAGAAAGAGACAGAGAAAAGTGAATGTTACAACTCTTTCACACTGTTATTTACATCCACCTAGGAAAAAGTAAAATTGAAGATTTATGGAAGGAAAGGGTTTGTACCTGCATTCATTCCATCAAAGGAAGGGAACATGTGATCTTTCTGACATTGTTGGATTTCAAGTCCCATCCATCCTAGCCAGCAAAGCCTGTACTGAAGGATGATGGGAACTCCAGTCCAACAGCATTTGCGGCTTCATATTATTCAACAACCCTACATCAGAAACACAGCAGAATTCGAGCCTATCATGGTGTGGGTTATGCATTTGGCAATATGGGACATTTTGAACGGAAAGGAAGACTGAACATCCCACATTTACCTCCATACCTGTTCATGTTGATCATATGTATAAGGAAATGAAAGGAAACTGGGAATTGTAGTTATACTAAAATGGAGATTGTTAAGATGAATTTAAAAGAGATGTTGTGCAGAGTTGTTTGCCTAATTCACAAGGTCAGACAGTCCAGGAAAAGAAGACGAAATAAACACTAAATTTAAGAAGATAAGACACCTGGAGCCTGTTTCATGAGAATTTGGGGCAGTGATTGGAGTATTCTGAATTACACCTACTTGGACTTGATTGGTTGACAGCTTGAAAGTGTAATGAAGAAGGTGGTCTTAAAGATATGTAAAATGAGAGGGATTGTGTATGTGAAAAAGATGGTCAGTGAATGCTGTGGAATGTGAGACACAGAGGTTTGTTTTTATTTCAAGAAGAAGGGAGGAGGGAAATAGCCCAGCTTCTAGTCAAGATGATTATCGAGACTTAGCTGTTTTTTTTACTTAGAAATTGTAAGTTTATTTAACCATTGTAACAGTCTGAAGATGCCTAACACTTATGCTTTAGCTACAACTGTAATCTAATGAATCTACTTTATTTTCTTAATAAAACAAATATAAAACTGCAACAGAGGACTAGTCTCTTGATACATCAGGATTATAACTAAATCCAGTGTGGATGAAAGGTTAATAATGGGTACTGTAAATAGTAGAGATCCTACTGTCCTACTTTACAAGGCTGGTGTGTATTCTAAGGAAACATATAGTCTATGTTTTATTGCTTTGGAAGCAATCAAGGTTACTTTTAAGGTTCAGGCTTGTCTATAGGGCTTACTACGCACTTCTGAGGCCTAAAGGACCTACCTCAGGAAATAAAGGTGGTAGTTTTGTGCCCAGAAGGACTCCCTGACTGTGATCATTGTCTCTTTAGGGATCGTTATAATATGGATCAGCTCAGTCAAATGGCCTGAAATGTGCTCAGCCCCACTTAGCTAAACTAAAAGGGACTGAGCACAATGCAAAGATATTATGGTTTGCATGTCTTGCAACAGGGAGTTGGCACAGTTGGATGCTTGACGTGGCACACTTTCGAGTAAGAAGCTTACTGTGGAAACACAAGTTTCCTGGCACTGATCCATCTCCTTTTGGCTTATGTCCAATTTGTCCTGTCCATCTCACCATTGCTGCTGCTTTTGGTGTGATTGTTTTATGTTGGTTTACTGATTTTTTTCCCTGTCTGCATTTTATTTTGATCATTATTGACCTTTATTTTTATCTGATTGTATTTGCTTTATCTGTTTTTCACCGCCCAGAGTTATGCCTCATAGTAATTGGGTGGTATGTATGTATGTATGTATGTATGTATGTATGTATGTGTGTGTGCGTGCGTGCGTGCGTGCGTGCGTGCGTGCGTGCGTGCGTGCGTGCGTGCATTTTGTTTGTTTGTTTGTTTGTTTGTTTGTTTGTTTGTTTGTTTGTTTGTTTGTTTGTTTGTTTGTTTGTTTGTTTGTTTGTTTGTTTGTTTCCTGTAAAGTACAGACAAAGATCTGGAGTGGATTCCCCACACTCCCGAAATTGGAGTCACCATCCACCACTGACTTCACCGAACAGCATTGTGGCTTCCATGTCACAAACAGCAATGGATACCACTGGACATGGTCACTATCCCTTTTGTCATGGTGTCTAAGATCTGCAGCTAAAAAGAGTTAGGTGCCACTAAGTATAGCAAGGAAAAAGTAAAATATACTCTGAATACAACATCTACTTTATAATGTGGTGGAGTTAAGAAGGAAGTGCTGGATTAAAACATGTCATAAATACACTTACTGAGTAGTAAGCACAACTGAGTATAATCATAAGCCCACTTTCCAGCAGCTGCACCAATGACAGAAGAACATGCCTGCACTTTAGATATTCCTGTTGGTTGTTTTTTTGACATTTCTGCCATCAAAATATGTGCTATTAATCTGAAGGAGGGAATGTAAAATGGAACATTTTAAATTTAGTTTACTCTGTGGCTAATAATAAATCATTTTCCAGAATATAAACAAAATCATAATCAATCATGGTGTAGTGAGATGCAAAAGAGGATTGGGTTCTTACACTTTTAATGCTAGCTACCAATACTTCATGGATTGCTGCCTTGTCGTGGTGAAGGGGCTTGAGTAATTCAGAGAAGCTATGGGCTATGCCGTGCAGGGACACCCAAGACGGACAGGTCATAGTGGAGAGTTCTGACTAAACGCGATCCACCTGGAGCAGGAACTGGAAAGCCACTCAACAACACAGAGTGCTGTCCTCTGAAGATGCAGGCCACTCAGACTGGCGAAACGTTAGGAAGAACAACTTTCAGAACACGGCCAAAGAGCCCGAAAAATGCACAACAACCCACTCTAGTATTTTTGCCAAGAAAACTCGATGGACAGAAACAAAAGGCTAAAAGATACGATGCTGGAAGATGAGCCTCTCAGGTTGGAAGGTGTCCAACATGCTACTGAGGAAGAGCAGAGAACAAGTACAAGTAGCTCCAGAGCTAATGAAGTGGTTTTGCCAAAGCCGAAAGGATGATCAGCTCCAGATGCACCTGGAAGTGAAAGGAAAGTCCAATGCTGCAAAGAAAAATATTGCATAGGAACCTGGAATGTAAGCTCTATGAACCTTGGTAAGCCGGATGTGGTCAAACAAGATGGCAAGAATAAACACGGACATCCTGGGCATGAGTGAACTAAAATGGACGGGAATGGGCGAATTCAATTCAGACGACTATCATAGCTACTACTGTGGGCAAGAATCCTGTAGAAGAAATGGAGTAGTCCTCATAGTCAACAAAAGAGTGGGGAAAACTTTACTGGGATACAATCTCAAAAATGATAGAATGATTTCAAAATGAATCCAAGGTAGACCTTTCAACATCACTTCAACTTCAACTGGAATCGAAGTTTATGCACCAACCACGAATGCTGAGGTGCTGGAGGAGAATCTTGAGAGTCCCCTGGATTGCAAGGAAATCAAACCTATCCATTTTGAAGGAAATCAATCCTGAGTGATCACTGGAAGGACAGATCCTGAAGCTAAGGCTTCAGTACTTTGGCCATTTCATGAGAAGAGAAATCTCCCTGGAAAAGACCCTGATGTTGGTAAAGAGTGAAGGCAAGAGGAGAAGGGGATGGTTGGACAATGTCCTGGCAATCCTCCAACATGAATTTGACCAAACTCCGGGAGGCAGTGGAAGACAGGAGGGCCTGGCATGCTCTGGTCCATGGGGTTACAAAGAATCGTACATGACTTAACGACTAAACAACAGCAACTAATACTGAAATTCTTTCATTTGAACATTTATAGCTGCAGGAGCTCTCTCTTCCATTACATCTGCCCACCCTCAGGTGGTGCCGTCCTGCTTTACAGTTAGAAGACCTTTGTTTGCCCATTGAAAGGTAGCACCGGACAGCAGCTGACATGGAGTTAGAAGGTCACCACTTCACAGTCTTCCCTGCCATGATTTCTATTGAAAGAATTATAATAGTTGTCCTCTCCAAATTTGCAGCTGCAATTGTGTTCTTTTTATTCTGAGCTGTCAAGTCACGTTTGACACAGGGAGACCCTAATATGGTTTTTAAGGTCGGTGAGATGTTTAAGCAATGAGTTTACCAATGCCATCTCATAGTGAGTTTCCATGGCTGAGCACTCTATAGGCTATATCACAGGGGCTCACTGTAGATTAGAATGTGTGAATTGCACATAAAATCCATGTCCTCCTTTTGGGTGATGGGTGACTCACTTCAATAAATACTAGGACAGAAGATTAACAGATTATCGGAATCAGTTTTTTAATTCTTTAGAAATAATTGAAGTAAAACACTGACCTAGTATGACTTAGGCAAGCTAGTCCATTCTGTTTGCAGCAGTACCAAAGCACCACTCTTTCAATATTATCAAACTTAATTTCTTTTTGGGATTCAGCAGTCTTGTCAGTTACTCCAAAATCTGTCAGTTTAAGGCTGAAATATTCATTACGCTACAGAAGCTTACAGGCCAGAGTAGAAAAAACAGCCAAGGCGGGTCAGGAAACATTTGGCACATAAATATTGAACTGTTGGTAAGGAGAGATAGACTTTTCCTTCCTATTCTGGCTATGGAAATCTGCTGTCTCTTATCCTGTGCATGAATTCATATTCCCTGCATTTCTGAGCTGTCCTGTCATTAGTACATCTCCATTATAATCCTAATGCATTGTATTAGCTCCATGCAGCTTTCTTCTTCCTGAGCTCTGTTTACTGTAGTCACAAGCTTCTTTCCCTGATAATGAAAGAGATCTCATTATTATTTTTCAGAGGGAAGCTCTAGCACAGAAATGCTAAACTATAACTTATTAAGAAGTTTGATTCTGTCTATTTAGGTTTGAATGGTGACAACGGCTTCTTCACTGCTGCAGCCAATTTAGGACAATTGTTGTTTGGAATACTCCCATCTCTTAGCCATCTTGGAGATTTTTAGGACTTGTTATAAAAAAAGGATATTTTCCCAGGTTGTCCTCTAGAGCAGTGGTCCCCAACCTTGGGCCTCCAGATGTTCTTGGACTTCAACTCCCAGAAATCCTGGCCAGCAGAGGTGGTGGTAAAGGCTTCTGGGAGTTGTGGTCCAAGAACATCTGGAGG